GTCGAAATCATCGCGCTCCCAAGTGGCCTGCTCATAAACCAGTTCCCTCCACTTCACCAAATAATCGAACTGTGTTTTCCCATACTGCACATGATTGATAATTCGATGCACTTGCATCCATTCCGGTTTTATACCTGGATTAATGCCGGCGTCAGGAAAGCATCGAAAAATGGGCACACAGAAATATCTAGAAATAAATAGCGGCGCGCACCGGAGGAGCCGTTGCGATCATGTGTTTTGTGCAATTCCGTCTGCCAGACAAGTGCCTGCTAATGATTTCACTGCTTTGCACTTTGATCTGTGCGGAAATAGTTGAAACGTTGTCTGTTTCCTAAGTTGTGGGACGTAAAAGCATCGGCACGTAAAAGCTGAATTTGAAAGTTCAAAGGGAAGAATATCCTCCCATAATTTCAACTTCTTAATTTTATCGTGTTTAAGTGATTTTTGCGGCAAACTTTCACGCGTTCGTACGTGACAGCTCGGCATACATAGGGATTGAATTCCAGTTTTCGAAGCCCTGTTTAGTCAGGAAACACTTTCTGAAATTTCCGGCCTCCTAGCTCTTCTGGCTCAAGAGATAATGACTTTTCTCGCCAAAACCTTCACGCGGATATCGAAAATTCGCGAAGTCGTAAGTGGGCAAGGGATACCACGCTAAAATTTCAGTCTTCTAGCTTTTGTAGCTCACGAGATAATTCCCCCATCAAAACTTTCATGGAACCGTACGTGGTGCCTAGGGGTGCGTGAAGGCTGAGTCCAAATTTGTGGAGCCGCACGTTGGTAAAGGACACCACCCTAAAATCTCAGGTTCCCAACTACCGCGGTCCCCGAGATAAAAATGTTCACCGCCGAAACTTTCACGGGGCCGTACGTGATACTCGGACATGCTGGACGGCTAAATTTAAATTTGTGAGATTGTATGTGGGCGGGGGACATTACCGTGAAATCTCAGCTTCCTGGCTTTTATGGTTCCCGAGATAATAATTTACCCACTAAAACTTGCACAGAGCCGTAGGTGGTACCCGAAGGAGCGGGAATGCTGAACCTGAATTTGCAAAGTCATACATGCGCATAGGGTCATTACCCTGAAATTTCAGCTCCCTAACTCCTTCGGTTCCTAAGATGATTTTACCCGCTAAAATTCTTACGGGGACATACGTGTTATCCGCGGATAAGAGACGGTTGAATTTAAACTTGCGGGGTCACACGCTAGCGGGGAACACTCTACTAAAACTTCAGCCGCTTAGCTTTCGTGGTTCCCGAGTTGAAAGTGCGGGACAAAACACACAAATACACAAAACCCCGTGACAATATGCACTTTGTACTGCTGCTGCACAGCACAAAACGCATAAAAATTACCGTAGCGGAAAAATCGCTCCTCAAGATTGTGTGGATCCTTCTCCTTCTCCTTATTTTCAATTTTCCCAGTCTGAAGATCTTCCTGACTACCATCGTCAACTTCTGGTGGTGTTTCAGGGTCCATTTTGCGCCAAAACATCCGCAGGAACTGGAAAAGTTACAATGAAATTACATACTTTTTCCAACACATTTGTTAAAAATCACTAAAAAATGTACTAAAATAAGACCAATTCATTCTTTTGTGCAGACTTTCTCAGAAGTTTAATCAGTATCATTCTCCACTATCATGCACGTGGGATGAAATCATTCAGCTTTAAATTCTGTTATTCCAGTATGTTTTGATAGAAATGACTAGTGAGAGAGAACGGCGAAAGAGGTGTTACAATGTGAACATATGATGCTCTGCACACAGGGCATATGCCTAAGTAAAAAATCTTTTTAGTTTACTGACTCGCACATGAACAGCAAATATCCGTCTATTCAGTCTGGTTAACCAGACCTAAACTGAACCCCCAGTTACGCATGAGAGAGCCAGCGCGCTTCAAAAATGTATTTGAAATTCGCACAAGGACACAGAATATCCTCGTAAAATTTCAGCTTCCTAATCTGACTGGTTGGCGAAATAGTTTTTCGCCACACAGGCATGCATGCCAAAGCTTATTTTACTTCCACATCCCATGTATGGGCAAATATCTGCTCGAAAACAAGGCGTTCAGCTCAGTCTTCGGCAAGTTTCCAACTGGAATTCAATTTTGATGTGTTCGTACGTCTTACACAGGAATCCATGACAACGAATTTGAAATCCCTTGCTCCAATATGGGCAGAGAATACCCACACGAATTATCAGAACCCTAAACTCTCTGATTCCTGCCTAAAAACTACATGTCTTTAGGCATCTGCACATGAGACCCAGCGTAAGTAAACGCTGAATTTAAGTTATTTGGATGGCACGTGAACTAAGAACAACTTTATGAAATTCCAGCTCCCTAACTTCTGCGCATACTAAATTGAATTTAGTGACAAAAATCCGAACAGACATTCACAAGCTCGTGAGGATGTGCTTTTTTGCACTTGCATAAAGGTGCAAAAGCGTAGAGTTAGTGAAGTAAATCGCCTACCTGAGTAAAATGCACGTCCAAAATCATCTCATTAACCCATTCGCAATGCCAGTAACTCATGTATTTCCATTTAATGAACAGCTCACGCTCTCTGCGATTTGGGAGTTCCTTAAGAGGTTTTAGAGCGATTTTTCGATCGCCTTCTTGCGCTTCAAATTCCTGAAAATTTAGAAAATATGTAGGGAACGAAAAAAAAAAAAAAAGAAAAAAGCAGGAAGCGCTAGGCGTTACGCCAGGTTAACCACATAAGAGAGCCTCGACTGTAGCAACTATGAAAAGTTTACTAACTCCATCAGTGGCATCATTGGGGGTACCGGTGGAGCGACTGAAGCAATTTGAAACGCACTTTTATGCATTTTGCAAAAAAGTAGCTGGCAATTTTCTAGTCTGAAAGACATGGAGTTGCTGATCTACAGATTACCAACCCAAGAACTAAAGTGTCACGAATCCAAAAATTTCTTCTATAGCTAATGAAAATCGCTCGCCGCCACACACAGCTGACAACTTTTCACAAGATGCTCCCTTCGTCAAAATAATGAAATTAAAAAAAATGCAAAATCCACCTTCAATTCCTCTTCAGTCATTGGTGGTGGATAAGCGACTTCGGTCCAACGCCATGAAAGACACTTCTCCGGGCGATTTTTTGGTTCCGGACATAAGCAACGTGGACAAGACCAGTCTCCTTCTGGAACTTCGGTAAGTGGCGGATTTATGCAATAGGCATGGAACGAGCTCGGACAGGTATCACAGCACAATAACCAGCCCCCTTCCTGCAAAATGCACAGTTATTTGTACTTGTAAACTCCTCAAAAGTAGCCCTATTTTGTCAAAAATTTCGAAGAAATGCTGTCAATCTGACCTTACAAATTCGACAAAATTCCATGTTTGTGGTGACTTTCTTCTCCTCCTCTTCCTCCTTCACAATGCCCGCGGCCTCACACGTTGGACAAGACCATCGGCCTTCCGGTGGTTCCTCCATGTCCGGGTCCAGACAAACCAAGTGATATGCTTTAGGACACGTGTCGCACAATATAATCTCGCCTCCTTGCTGGCACACTTCACAGTAGTCTTGATGATCGGTCTGCAAAACGATAAGGTAATGAGTTCCCGCTTCAAAATAACTGCAGTTCTCGTTAATGGACAAAAAAGGGAAAAATTTGAGCAAAATTACCTCATATCCATCCTCCCCCTTTTTCTTTTTGCCCTTTTTCTTGGCCGCACGCGCGCGCGCTGCTCGGCGCTCTTCCTTCTCCCGTTCTTCCTCATCCAACTGCTTTTCATGCTCTTTCAGCAGGTGCTCGAACTCCTGGTCACTATCCTCTGCAAAACATAAGGTTTAAAAGCAAATTTCCTCTGGACCCACATTTTTTGCTTTCAAAAAGAATTCACGGCTTCCGCCTTTTGAAAGTATTTCTCCGAAAATTGCAGTTTACATGTGATGCGCTAATTCCTTCCCCCACCCTTCCCTTCTCCTCGAAATATCTAAATGAAAGGGGCAGAGCTA